GCCAGGGAAAAACCATTAGCTGTTAGGAAATCTTTCAAGGGCATCAACTAAGAAAGCTTCTAACAATTACGTTTTCTTTTTGGTCTTTTTTTTTTTTTAAATACCTAAGAACAAGGTTTGGCAGGGTGCAGTGGCTCATGCCTGTAATCCCAGCATTGTGACAGGCCGAGGCGGGGAGATCACCTGAGGTCAGGAGTTCGAGACCAGCCTGACCAACATGGTGAACCCCAGTGTCTACCAAAAATACAAAATTGGCCAGGTATGGTGGCACGTGCCTGTAATCCCAGCTACTTGGGCGGCTGAGGCAGCAGAATCGCTTGAACCGGGGAGGCAGAGGTTGCAGTGAGCCAAGATTGTTCCACTGCACTCCAGCCTGGGCAACAAGGGCAAAACTCCGTCTCAAAAAAACAAAAACAAAAACCGATGTTCATGTGTAACCTAAACTGTCTTTTTCTTGCAAAAATGGATGTGAAACTTTTGAATTAGAACTCACTAGCCATACTGAACATCCTAATCTTGATTCATCTCAGTTCTCTCTTATCCAAGGTGAGAAGAGGCTCATTAAGAAATGGAAAAGTTGTAAGACACATTGTGAGATTGTTTAGGCATAGTTGTATTTTGGAAGTCATTTAGGATGCATCTTTAATGAAGAGAGATGATGTGCTACTGAATGTTGTATTTCCCAGCTTGAAGTACTTTCTCACATGACTTTGCATAATTGCTTAGTTGTGGTTTTATATTGGAAGTGACTTTAGCATGTTTTTAGGGAAGAGATGTTTCACCACTGAGTGTTTCCACACTGACATGCTTTTTCAGATGAATCCTAAGATTCACCTTGATTTTATACATTTAAACCTGGAACATTAACCCTCTCCCTGGGAATGTGAGTCGTCTTTGATTCCTTGGCTTTCTCCAGGGCACATACACTAGAAAGCCAATGTTTCAAGGAGAATTCGACTCCGATTGTTGGCTCTACTGTAGTGTATGTGACTTTTAGATCCTTGCAAGGTTCAAGGGTATTGGGTTTCAAAAGTTTTAGTGTGACCAAATTCAGGCTTAAAGCTGCAAAAGCTCATTCAACACTCTGAAAACTCTCCTGAACTCTACACTGAAAGTCTGTTAAAATGTTCCTTAAAACCTTTAGAGGTGGACTTAAGAACAAGAAGTAGAGTTGTGAGCTAAGACTGGCAGGTTGGGGGAATGGGAGGATGAGACAAGTATCAGAAGGATTAGGAAAACCGAATAGAGGCCCTTGAAAATGCTCAGTTATCTTTCTTTGTCCCATCCTCTCTCCTCCACCATATTTCTGTCTTTTACCCTTAGGCCTGCACTGCCTGAAAAGAAGGTGGCTGATCTAAGCACTCTGAATGAAGTGGGCTATCAAATCCGAATTTAGCCAAGCCATACCGGCCAGCAAGAGGGTTTCTGTGGTGCTTCTCTCTGCACTTTACCCAGCATCTTCAGGAGGAACTGCAACTATTTATTAAGAACTTGTGAATTTTATTTTTAAGGATTCACCTGGAAATAGAATCTGAGTGGGTGGTAACCATTAGCTTTAAAAAATTCACTAAGAGGCACCATGAAAATGCTGAAGTAATAAACCCCACCGGGGTTGGACTATGTCCCTCACTCAAGATCTTAAGGATAACAACCATAACTGTAGTTTTATATTTTTCCATTTACCTACTTTCTTTCACTTGCTTTGAACATTATGCCTCACCAATAGTAAATGTTCATGAAATAATCTCTTGAACTTTTGGTATAGTAAGGTAACTCAAACAGTATTACTGTCTTTTTCAGCAATAACAGAAAGCAAAAATGGGTGGGTTTTTTTTAAGCAGTTAATATTACCTCAGCATTTTGACATCAGATATGCAAACTTAATGGCGTTTTGTTTTTTTATATTCTATTTATATTCTTTCCCCAGTATTTCCCATGGGGATCTCCACAAGCTTGAAGTTTTTTCCTGGTGCACACACATGATGAGATTTAAGGTATTATATGCAAGTGTTTTACTAAAAAGCACTGAAATTCTTCTGGCAATACAAGAACCATTTTCAGGATCTTGGAGTTACTTCCTTCTTAATCTTTCTTAAAGCATTCACTGATGTTTTTTCAAAATGAAACAAAAATATCACATTGAGAAGCTAGTCTATGTTCTGTCACTAACATTTAAACTTTGCAGACTCTAGCAAAAAGCACAAGAGGTCATGTACTATTACACAAATTTAGCAGTACTGGATTACCTCTGGACACTAACACACTCAGGCAAAGAAACCAGGAGTGATGATCAGGTCTTCAGAACCAAAAAACCTTTCTATTCACATTTCATCTGATTTTTAAACTGAAGCAGGCTTTGATTCTTCTGAAGGACGCAAAGAATCAAACTAAGCGAGGACTCACTGTTGTTAAAGATGTGTTCTGATGTCTTATATTAAGACCAAATGTGACATAATGTGATTATCTTCCAGTACTTTGCTTTTACCTACCACTTCATGACATTTTAGGAATGAGTATTCGAAAATATAACGAATTAGAAAAGCAGTACTTTTTTTTTTTAATGGAGAAGTCTTCGGTCCAGTGTTACACCTTATAGTGTGATTCAGTCCCTAAGCACGGAATGAATGTCTGGCCTGCATATGGTAGTTACAGTGTAACCTCTGGCTGCAGACCACAGAGGACAACCCTAACAGCATAGTCTTGTATGGTATAAATATCAAGAGTACAGCTTCGATTTCATTTGCTTTATCTTAGCAACAATGCCAACTCAGGAGACCAGACGGCCGATTTCAGTGAAGTCTGGTAGTCAACAGATGTTATTTCAGTCTCAGTGCATGTCTTCTGGCTTTCTTTGACTGAAGGTGTCTATAGGAAGGAAGTTAAAAAAAATATATCCTCATTGAGATTCTTTACCAATTCTTTACAAGATTTCTGGGGGTGACAGGGAAAGCAAAAGGACTTCATCCTTTAGCTATGTGCACAAGAGCTTACTTTACCCTAAAAATCAGTATTATTAATGAAAAGTACTGTTTTCTTAAAAAAAGAAGTCTAATGTCATGTAGATGAACAAGACCAAGGATACATCTCCATTAGATTAAAATGTAGCACAGGGTTAAAAATTCTCAGTTTAATCTCTTTAAGATCAGTATTATCAGAGTTTAAAATGAGTTATCTCTGTCTATCTTCACACAGCAAACCCATTTGCAGCCTCTTGGTCACATGTATTCAGATGTTTGAAATAGTGAATCATTTCATTTTCATTCTAAAACAATACTGACTTAAACATATACCTTCTGTTTGTCAATCTGAAACTTGCTTACATCTAGTAAGTACACCTCTTATAACACTGCATCCATTCTAAGAGTTGGAATTTATTTTTGCCCAAGTATTAAGTACTGTTACATCTAAAATACAGAATGTCAAATGGTTGCATAGCTTGTTTCCCACAACAAGGAGGAAAAGAATAGGAATACAAACTCTGTAATATGCTGATATAGAAGCCTTAGAACTGCCAACTGGCTTGATGGTTCAATTAGTAAGCTAATTTCTCCCACACCCGCTCCCGCCCCAAAGCAAGGTTTAGTCACACAAACATGAAAGTACATTTAAAATGTCCTTAGTTGTCATCCTACTTTTATTGCCTATGGAATATGCTAATTTCTTAAAAAAAAAAAATGAGAAATGCACCAAACCCCTAAATTCTAGTGCAATAATTTAATAAAAAAAGACAAACAAACATGTTTTGTGCACCCCCCTCCCAAAGTTGATTTTAAGACTGGCTAGAATTCAAAATATAAAAAATAAAACTGAAGTGATTTGAAATCGATTTTTAAAAGTTCTTAGTGCAAGAGAAATTTTATGTTTAAGCCATCATGGCAATATATGCAAAGTTTAAATGAATGACAGAAATCTTCATTTTAGACTGTATGTTGTGCTGTTTTGAGTACACTTTATTTCAGAAAGTGATATTTAGTATTTTCTATACACTCTGAAATCATGAGCATTTCACTTTTTCTAAGTCAATTATTTCATAAGGATTTTATTAATAGATATTGGTAAATAGAACTTTGGAAATCTTAATTCAGAATTCTTACTATACCTGAGGCTTTTGTAAGCTATAGTTTTATGTACAACCTTGTACAGTTTTTTTGACATACAATTCAGAACTTTGTTTATTCTCTTGGACTTTGTTGTGGCCAATACATTTTTTTAAAATCTTTAAGAAGAACTGTGATTGTTTTAGTGGGTATTTTTCTAAGTAAATGAAAACTTGTATAATGGTATTTTAGAGAATGCCAGATAAGTGCATGTTTCGAGTTAATGTTTTTCTCATCACTTGTATGTTTCTAACACAGCATGGGACTTTAATAAAACCATCCTGGAAACTTAACCATTGTTTTTCTTCTAAATATGTAAGTTGCAGCTGGGCTCAGCGGCTCAAGCCTGTAATGCCAGCACTATGGAGGCCGAGGCGGGTGAATCACCTGAGGTCAGGAGTTCGAGACCAGCCTGACCAACATGGTGAAACCCCGTCTCTACTAAAAATACAAAAAATTAGCCAGGCATGGTGGCGGGCACCTGTAATCCCAAGTATTTGGGAGGCTGAAGCAGGAGAATCGCTTGAACCTGGGAGGCGGAGGTTGCAGTGAGCTGAGATCCTGCCGACACACTCCAGCACGGGCAACAGTGCAAGACTCAGTCTCAAAAAAAAAAAAAAAAAAAAGAAAAAAAGTAAGATGGTGTGATTTTTTTTGGTCATCGTATTATATACTTATTCTAGTGAACCTGTTCATCATTCTTTCACCCTTCTTTCACAATCTGCAGACTCTATATTAAAAACTACTCTATTACTCTATTTTGACACATCTCAATTCACTCATCTTTTAGCACCACCCTAAGTAAAAATGGCTGAAAAGAGCAATGAAATAGTTTAGTAAAGGCAACAGGACAGCTTATACATCTCAGTATACCTACCACAAAACCTTCAGGCACAGAAGTATGAGTATAATAGTTTATTACATAACTTACAGGTACAAAGTGCAAATGACTTGACGCCTCTCTTTCCCCAATCCCTTGAACTCTCTGGATCTCAAACTTTCTTTAGGAAAGCAAATGGTTAAAAGCAGACAGTAACTGAATTACAAATAAAGACAAGATTTCAAACATGCATATTATCTTGATAGCAAAATGTACAGTAAAACCAAAATTTCATTACTCCACAGTTTACCTTTCCATTTAAAACTTGTATAGTATAACACTTGAGACTGAGAGATTTGGTTTCAGGCATTAACCAGATTTAATTGCTTTTGGCAGGTAAGTAGAGGCTCCGGCAGAGTTACCAACTATTCTGGTCAACAAAAGTAAAGACAAGTGGATAATTATTTTTAGTGGAGCTTTAAAAACCTGTGAGAAGCTCACATTGACTTTCTGGCCTCCAGTCCACAAAATAATACTTCATTTGATAAGCTAAAGTAGGGAGCAATTTTATGGATTAACTCTATCAAAGTGAAGCACATGAAAAATGGGCCAGAATATATTAATCAGGATATAAAAACTTTTCACAGAGGTTTTCAGGGATGTTCGTTTGTTAACAATGACCTATATGTAATAATGTTATTTGTTAATAAATTCACACAACACAAGGCAGTAATTAACTAATGAATTTTCATTTTTCTTTTCCCCAATACTAAAAAGGGGATTATTATACTATCAAATTATACTATCATTATAATTTGATGTCTGTATCTGCTAATTAGGGCACATAATATTCTGTAAACTACTACTATAAAATGTGAGAAATCTTGGAACTATAGTTAATACTGCAATTAAAATCCCCCCAAAGGCCAGGAGTGGTGGCTCATGCCTGTACTCACAGCACTTTGGGAGCCTGAGGCAAGTGGATCACCCCTGAGGTCAGGAGTTCGAGACCAGCCTGGCCAACATGGCGAAACTCCATCTCTACTAAAAATACAAAAATTAGCTGGTCGTGGTGGTGCACACCTGTAATCCCAGCTACTGGGGAGGCTGAGGCAGGAGAATTGCTTGAACCCAGGAGGCGGAGGTTGCAGTGAGCCAAGATCGCACCACTGCACTCCAGCTTGGGTGACAGCGTGAGATGCCGTCTAAAAAACAAAAACCCCCCCAAAGTGAGAAATTAAATATTTAAACATATTCAATTACAATTTTTTCTAGATAAATCTTATAATCCACATGCCTTCTTTGAGGTTTTCATCTGTTTTTTAAAAAATAATTATAGCAAATGCTTTAGTACAAAGACTTAGTCCAAGACTATTATTATTTTCCAATTTAAGGTGAAGCATTCTATTAATAAAACTCACTGTAAAAACATTTATAATTCAGTGTAAAATTACTACTTAGTAAAAATGTATGTAATTCCTTGTTCCTACTGTCTACAAAAAAGGAAATTTCCACTTTTTATGTTTTAAAATCAATTCAAACACTTGTATATAGGATTTATTAAACCTACTCATAACCACTTCATAGAAAGTGTCAGCACCATCTCACACTGGTGCATCACTGTAAAAGAAAACATTTTAGAAACAAAACCACTAAAACCAACAGTTTAATGACTATTTACAGAGTATTAGGACTCCAGGTTAATATCTTCCCACTAGAGTTTTACAGGCTTCCTCATATTTCTGAGGCATAACAAAAACAATTTTATAGCTGCCATTTTGTTCCAAAGACAAATTTCCTAATAAAATAAATTTCTACAGAACTGGTTCAGTAAAATAAAATCTCTCCCCTAACCCAGAGATCTTAAAACTGAATTTTTAAAAAATGCTGCCAGCTGCAGTGGTTCACGCCTGTAATCCCAGCACTTTGAGAGGCTGAGTTGGGCAGATCACCTGAGCTCGGGAGTTTGAGACCAGCCTAACCAACATGGAGAAACCCCGTCTCTACTAAAAATACAAAATAAGCCGGGAGTAGTGGCGCATGCCTGTAATCCCAGCTACTCAGGAGGCTGAGGCAGGAGAATTGCTTGAGCCCAGGAGGCAGAGGTTGCAGTGAGCAGAGATCGCACCATTGCACTCCAGCCTGGACAACAAGAGTGAAACTCCATCTCAAAAAAATAATAATAATAAATTAAAAATAAATAAATAAAAATGCTAGGGAAACAAAGGTATATCCCCAGTCTCTGCCTCTATTAAGCCCACCTCTATCTGTTCTAGGGTGAAAGAGTGAGCTTTACACGTTATGCTGACTTACATTTCCCAAACATTTCCCCAACACGATGCAGGCATATTACATGGCTCAGGACAGTAATATGATGGATTAAGCATTCTGTACAACTTAAAAAGCATTATCAAACCCCTTCAAAAACAAACTAAACAATGGCTGGTTGGATACCTGTGAATGACCCAAGGATTTCTAAGATAAACTATTTAGAACTCAATAGAGGGGTCTCCTAATGAAATCAAGCCTTCTGGAAAGAAACCGCTTATAGTTTACAAGAACTCAAAAGATATTTTGGATCCACTACAGAGCTCACCAAAATTTATGAAATGAAATTTTTTACAAGCAGACAAAGGAAGATGCATTATATTTAAAAATCACTGTCAATTTTACTAGGATTTAGAATACAAAACCTTTACATCTCTTTTACAATAAAGAGTATTTAGATCTCACTTGTCAGAAAAATATTTTTCATTATTAAAAAAATTGTTATAAAGTTGTTTCTTCTGATACAGAGTTTCAAAGCATCTAACATAACCTCCTCAGAAACTCCACAGTGCAAAAATAAACAACATGCATACACTTAAGAACTTTACATTCTTTGAAAAACAATACAAATTGGAAAGAAAATTCGTATGTGATCAAAGAAGTCAGAGCTCAAGTCTGAACTTTGCCAATAAAGGCAGATGATCTGAAGAGTTATTTTCATTTGGAAGTCCATTAACAGTCCATAAGTCTTGTTCTGTAAGAAGTGACAGTCTAGCTAGAAGTTTCAAGCCACCAACCAAAGCAACTTCAGCTCCTAAAGAAGCACATACATATTTAGTAAAACTGTCAACAAGTTATTGTAAATTAATCATACAAGTCTTTTCTCCAAATACATATAGAACTTGAGGCCCCTCCAGAAGACTAAAAACTATGAAACAGTTTTTAGAATATTTAAGCTTAATATTGAGTTATAACCTAATTGTAATTACCAAACACACAGCAGTTTGAGATATTGTTTCTATTTCCAGCTCTGTAACTGTAAGCAATCTTTAGAAGAAAATATAAATCAAATACTTAAGAATGTTAAGAGTAATTTGTGATTGACAACTACATAAGAAACTCATCCAGCAACCATTCTGTAGTTGCATAAAGCCAGAGATACCGGGCCACAGCCCTGCAAAAGTTTATAAGGTGAATGGAGAATAAATTAGTATAACTTAGTCCCGAGTCAGCACCCACAGAAGTAGAGTAAAAGATGACATGCTCTTATCGTTAAGAAATTTGAAATGCTGATTGGTAACACTCTCCTGCCACCTAGTGAACTTCTGTCAGCATGACAACTATGAAAACCTTACTATAAATTCAAAGCAGCAGGCATATTTTGTAGAGTAGATCTAGTGGCAGGGGTAAGTCATCTCCTGAGTGTTACTAATAAGGTTATTCCCAGAAGAAAGGAGGGGGGAACAAACAGAGGGGAAAAGGGTAAAGAACAAGAAGCATTAAAAAAAAAATGGAAGAGAAAAAAAATGAAAAACTCAGAAAAGAAAAAGCTGCCCACATTCCAAAGTTTTCTTAATGATATTTTTGTACTTCCAGTAATCTTAAACTGCATTTTCTTCTCCACTTTAAATCCTTTGGCTAATGTTTAAAACCTGATTTTCATTGAGGCGCACAAAGAAAACTTTTATCACCTTCACTTTTTGAAAACACCTAGTAATGATATAGACTTTTCTGACCGAATGTGGAGGCTCATGCCCGTAATCCAAGCCACTTTGGGAGGCTGAGATGGCCGGGTTGCTTGAACCCAGGAGTTTAAGACCAGCCTGGGCAACATGGTGAAACCCTGTCTCTACAAAAATTAGGCAGGCATGGTGGCTCGTACCTGTAGTCTTAGCTACTCGGGAAGCTGAGGTGGGAAGGTCACTTAAACCCAGGAGGCAGAGGCTGCAGTGAGCTGAGAATCCCGCCACTGCACTCTAGCCTGGGTAACAGAGTAAGACTTTGTCTCAAAAAAAAAAAAAAAAAAAAATATATATATATATGTGTGTGTGTGTGTGTGTGTGTATATATATATATATATATACACTTTTCCTCTTCAGAAAAATCCAATATTCCAGAGTCAACATGACAGCATAAGCTGTGTTGCTGGCAGTGTAACTATGGTCCTCCAATGAAGGCAGCATGCCTCCGTAAAATTTAAGCACAAAACTATGATGACCATTAACAACATACTCAGTTCCTGTCACAGGAAAAACAGTAAATTTATGGCAAGTAAAAAGAAAGGGCAATATGAAAGACCTATAACTCAGAGGCTGACTGGAACTGGAGGGTAGGACTGATAATGTAATTCTTGGGTAATAATTTGCTTGAATGTGTTTTATTGCCTCCTTCATATGCAAGTAATCAACTGATTTATTCAAAGATATTACCAATCTGTCTATTTCAAAATATTTTTACCTTCTAGATCTAGAACTTCAACTGTATGTTTAGAGAGCTTTCTTGACTTTAACCTTGAGGTTTTAGCTACTGTGCTCTCTAGCAGAATTTAAGATTACATGCATTCCTTACCTGGGTGCCCAGCAACATCTTCCTTTTCTGCAGAGTAGAAAATATAATCCACAGTTATGGCACTTCGGGAATGACAGGTGGTCACTTCTGGAATTCCAGTGTCAGGAAAGTAATGTGAATAAACAGATGACAAGCTGAAATGGTGCTGTAAATTTGAAGATAATCTAAATAGAAAAGAAGAAGTGTTTAGTATTCAAGTTTTTTGTAACTTCAATAATTCCTCCTATCTGAAGTTCTTTTTCATTTAATTTCTAGACTAAGACCAGACATTAAGACAAGCTTTATTTAAATAGACCATATCATAATTTAGTATTAATTTACTTATGCAGTGGTATCTAAAACCCATCAATAAAGCCATCTAAATGTGGCTTTAAAAAAAGCTCTATAATTAACATACTAATGTGTTCATTATTTATAACATGTGTAAATGCCTCCACTTACTAAAGAACACGTATTCTAAAATAACTTAGAAGTTTCATTGTGTTTTTAAGAAAGAGAATGAAGGGGGTCTTCAGGAACACTATTTGGAATCCCCTAGACTTCTGATGACAGAGAGGCCATATTCTAATTTTTCTTGCTATGACATATGAGATAATTTTGTACTGCATCTTAAAACAGCTTCTCTAATGGTTTATTACATTTTTCTCATGCACAAATATAATGCATGTGATGTTATGAGTAAAAGGTTTAAAGATAATTTTCTAGTGATACTTTATGAATCATAAAGATCTTTTACGCCTTGAAGGAAAATAAAATTTTAAAAAACTTATCCAACAAACATTTACCAAACACCTTCTAAGTTCTAGGCACTATCTCAGGTGCTGAGAATATGTAGATGAAGATGTTTCCCTTGCTTTTAAAGTGTTCATCTGTCAGGAACAAAGGTAAATCCTTAAAAATGCCCTCTAAGTTTTAGCAACCTTTTATGTCTAAGGATTTATAATATTAAACACAAATAGGGCCGGGCATGGTGGCTCACACCTGTAATCCCAGCACTTTGGGAAGCCAAGGCAGGAAGACTGCTTGAGCTCAGGAGCTCGAGACCAGCCTGGGCAACACAGTGAGACCTCCTCTCTACAAAAGAAAAAAAAAAACTAAGAAAATTAGCTGCACATGGTGGCCCATGCCTGTGGTCTCAGCTACTTGGGAGACTAACGTAGGAGAATTGTTTGAGCCCAGGAGGTGGAGGCTGCAGTGAGCCAAGATCATGTCACTGCACTCTAGCCTGGATGACAGTGAGATTGACTCTCAAATAAAAATAATAAATAAAAATAGGTCTTCTGCAAACTGTTATTTTACTATCAATTTTTCAGTTTACAGATATAAGCTATGCATATAAACACTCTATTTATATATAGATACTAAAAAGTATCTTTTTTTTTTTTTTTTATGAGACAGAGTCTTGCTCTGTCACCCAGGCTGGAGTGCAGTGACGTGATCTCAGCTCACTGCAACCTCCACCTCCCAGGTTCGCACCATTCTCCTGCCTCAGCTTCCTGAGTAGCTGGGACTACAGGCGCTCGTCCCCACGCCCAGCTAATTTTTGTATTTTCAGTAGAGATGCAGTTTCACCATGTTAGCCAGGATGGTCTCAATCTCCTGACCTCATGATCCGCCTGCCTCGGCCTCCCAAAGTGCTGGGATTAAAGGTATGAGCCACCACGCCCGGCCTCTTTTTTTCTTTTAATTTTTAGATAGACACCAAGGGCAAGTAAAGTATCTGTTTTATTTTTTAATATTATTATTATTATTTTGAGACAGAGTCTTGCTTTGTCGCCCAGGCTGGAATGCAGTGGAGCGATCTTGGCTCACTGCAACCTCCACCCCTCTGGTTCAAGCAATTCTCTGCCTCAGCCTCCCTGGGATTACAGGTGCCTGCCACCACACCCGGCTAATTTTTTGTATTTTTAGTGGAGATGGGGTTTCACCATCTTGGCCATACTGCTCTTGAACTCCTGACCTCGTGATCCACCCGTCTCAGCCTCCCAAAGTGCTGGGATTACAGGTATGAGCCACCGCGCCCGGCCAGAATGTTTTATTTTTTTCTTTTTTTTTTAAATAGAGGCAGGGTCTCACTGTCTTGCCCAGGCTGGTCTCAAACTGCTGGGCTCAAGCAATCCTCCTGACCTGGCCTCCCAAAGTGTTGAGGTTACAGGCGTAAGCCAACACGCCCAGCCAGTATCTTTTTTCATATCCTATATTGTTATAAAAAGATTTAAGGATTACTCAAAACTAAGTACTTGTTAGATTAGCCTCCTTATTAATCTTATTCAAAGAAGTTTTTACTCTACTGAAAGGTTTAATCATTAATTTTTAAATATTCATTTAAAAATTTTTTTAAAAAATTGCTTCCATTCTTACTAGTTCTTATTTATGTAGTAATATTTTCTCAAAACAAGGTATACAAAATAAAGATTTAGGCAGATAAAATGAATGAGAATTTGTTCCTAAATTTAAATGTTAAAACAAAAACCTATAAAATAGCCACAATATAAAACAAGCAAGATATTTCAAGAATCTTCCCAAGATTTAAGTCTCTGTCCTGTTTTATTAACATGTATCCATTTCTCAACCATAGCCCCAAATATTCCTATTTCTTTAATGAAGAATCCCAGCATCTTTACCCCTCTGACAATCTTTTCCTACAGTTCAAGAGATAAATTTAAATGATCATCTTTTCAACTGGCATATTCATTTTTGGATGAATTCTCTTATAGACGGTTTTGAGATTTAGTAAATCAAAGACAACTAAAGATTCTCTTGATATCTGAGAGATACGTTTCTGTGATCTTGACCTTTGTTTAAGTATGTGAATTTCAAAGAGTACTTGAGCTGGTCCAGCTCCACAAACAAGCTGTTTCCCTCCTAACACTACCTAGGCACCTAAACTATGTTTCAAACATTGTGTTTTATATGCTTTGTCTCATCTAATCCTCACAACAACCCGAACTACAGATAAAGAAACTGAACCTCAGAGATGTTAAGTTTCTTGCTTAAAATTATTCAGCTAAAACACAGCAGAGTCAGGACTGGAACTCAGGCCTATTTGACTTAAGGGCCTGCACTCTTCACCAGCACGGAATATTATCACCTTAATTTTTTTATCCAAGTGATTTTTGAGAAATGAGTTTTTTATTCAACTAAAGTTAGCAAATGTCTCCTTTTACTTTCCAGAACTCACTTTTCAGCTGTCACTAGGACCTCTGTTTGCTTCAGTTGTGTTTGTGTCAGATCACTGTCTGTAAGAATAGAGGAAAATATATTAATTTTATTAATATAGTTTTGTTCTAGTTTGCCTTAATACCGTCATCTTGCTCCAGAAACAATATTTAAGACTTATCTAGGTTAGAAAGATGCCTAGTTACATGTTTCATTCTGGAATCTATATATTTTGATGGCCTCCAGAATTCGGAAAAATAAAAAAATGCAAACAATTCCAAAGCAACATGCAAGTAAATCATGCACAGATAATTCTGGAAGTTCAACTTTAAAAAGGTAAATTTAGAGGTCTTAAGAAAAAGAATCAATAACTATATATTTATATATATGAATATTCATCCCTGGGATTTTATCTTTTTAAAAACTTAAGTTTTATGTCTTCAAAGGGAACATGATTACCCAGCAGACTGCCAAAATGTATTACAAACACTTACCTGTCTTTTCTACTTTTGGTACCTGCTGTACCTCATACACACAGTTCTGTGAGATACCTAGGTTTGGGGGCCAAATTGGAATAGATAAAATTCTTTGTCCCCGTGAAGACTGTTCCTGGCCAGATACCTAAACAAAATTTCAACAGGTATCTTAAGTGAAAATATTTTAAATAGTTTATGAATTGAAAAGTTTATGTCTTAAATAAAAGGTAATCCAAAAGTGGTAAATTATTACCCTTTATTCATTATATTAAGTGATTCTTTGGCCTTATAAAATCTTCTTTTCTTCAAATACAATTCAGAAAGCACTTATCATTTACATAAAAATGACAATCTTTTTCCCATACATGTTTTTCTTTAATTTGGACATACAAATGATCTATCACTTTGGACTAATACTACTCATCCTTTTTTACTACCAGCAATATAGTTCCTATTGTATCAAATACAGGCATGTTCAGAGATACCACAGGTTTGGTTCCAGGCCACCACAATAAAGTGAGTATCTCAATAAAGCAAGTCACATAATTTTTTCAGTTTCCCAGTGCATATAAATTGTGTTTATACTATACTGTAGTTTATTAAGTGTGCAATAGCATTATGCCTAAGAAAATACATACCTTAATTTAAAAATACTTTATTGTTAAAATATCCTAACAATCATCTGAGCCTTCAGTGAGTCATCATCTTTTTACAGGTGGAGGGTCTTGCCTAGATAATAATGGCTGCTGGCTGATCAGGGTGATGGTTGCTTAAGGTTGGAGTTGGTTGTGGCAATTTCTTAAAAATAAGACAACAATGAAATTTGCTGCAGCCATTGATGCTTCCTTTCATAAAAGATTTTTCTGTAGCACGTGATGCTGTTTGACAGCACTTTATCCATGGTAGAACTTTTTTCAAAATTGGAAACCTTGCCAATGTTTTATCAACTAAATTTATGTAACATTTAAAATCCTTTGTTGTCATTTCAGCAATGTTCACAGCATCTTCACCAGGAATAGACTGCATCTCAAGAAAATACTCTGCTCATCTATAAGAAGCAACTCCTCATCTATTTAAGTTTTATCATGAGATTGAAACAATTCAGTTAATTCTTCAGGCTCCACTTCTAATTCTAGTAATTCTAGTTCTCTTGCTACTTCCACCACATCTACAGTTACTTCCTCCACTGAAGTCTTGAACCCCTCAAAGTCATTCATGGGGGTTGGAATCAACTTCTACCAAACTCCTTTTAATGGTGATATTTTGACCTCCTCCCATGAATCACGAATGTTCTGAATAGCATTTAGGCTGCTGAATCCTTTCTAGGTTTTCAATTTACTTTCCCCAGATCCATCAGAGAAATCACTTCTATGGCAGCTATAGCCTATGAAATGTATTTCTTAAATAAGGAGACCCGTAGATACAAAATTACTCCTTGATTCCGGCTGCAGAATGGATGCCGTGTTAGCAGGCATGAAACAACACTCATTTCCTTGTACATCTTCATCAGAGCTCTTGGGTGACCAGGTGCCTTGTGAATGAACAGTAACTTTTGGAAAGGAATCTGTTTTTCTTAGTGGTCTCGGCAGTGTGCTTAAAATATTCTATGCCACAAACAGATGCACTGTCATCCCCAAGCTTTGTTTTTCCATTGATAGAGCAGAGGTAGAGTGGATTTAGCATAATTTTTAAGTGCCCTAGGATTTTCAGAATGGTCATCGAACGCTGACTTTAAATAACAAGCTACATTAGCTCCTAACAAAAGAGTCAGCCTGTCCTTTGAAACCAGGCACTGACTTCTTCTTTCTAGCTATGAAAAGTCCTACATGGCATCTTCTTGCAACAGAAAGTGGTTTCATCCACATTAAAAATCTATTGTTGGCCGGGTGCGGTGGCTCACACCTGTAATCCCAACACTTTGAGGGACTGAGGCAGGAGGACTGCTTGAGCCCAGGAGTTCGAGACCAGCCTGGGCAACATGGTGAAACCCCATCTCTACCAAAAAATATTTAAAAATTAGCCCGGCATGGAGGCATGCACCTGTAATCCCAGCTACTTGGGAGGCTGAAGCAGAATCGCTTGAACCCAAGAGGCGGAGGTTGCAGTGAACTGAGATTGTGTCACTGCACTCCAGCCTGGGCAATAGTGTGAGACTCTGTCTCCAAAAAAAAAAAAAATCTATTATTTAGTGTAGCCACCTTCATCAACGATCTTAGCTAGATCTTCTGGATAACCTACTGTAGCTTCTACATCAGCAGCACTTGTTGCTTTACCTGCACTTTTATGTTATGGAGATGGCTTCATTCCTTAAACCTCGCAAATTAAACTCTGTTAACTTCCAACTTCTTTTCTGCAGCCTCCTTATCTCTCTCAGCCTTCATAAAATTGAAGAGACTTAGTGCCTTGCTCAGGATTAGGCTTTGATTCAAGGGAATGCTGTAGCTGGTTTGATCTTCTATCCAGACCACTCAAGCTTTCTCCATATCAGCAATAAGGCTGTTTTGTTTTCTTATTATGCCTTCATACACTGGAGTAGCACTTCTAATTTCCTTCAAGAACTTTTCCTTTGCATTCACAACTTTGTTGTTTGGTGCAAGAGGCCTAGCTTTTGGCCTCTCAGCTTTCAAAATGCCTTCCTTGCTAAGCTTAATCATTTCTAGCTTTTGATTCAAAGTGAGACATGTGAGTCTTCCTTTTACTTGAACACTTAGAGAGTGCTGCAGGGCTATTACTTGGCCTAGTTTCAATATTGTTGTGCTTCAGGGAATATAGAGGCCCAAGTAGAGGGAGAGAGATGATTAGTGGACCAGTCAAAACACACTTATCGATTAAGTTCATCATTTTATATGGGTACAGTTCATAACACCCAAAACCATTATAATAGTAATATCGAAGATCACTAATCTGGGATCAACATAACAGATGTACTAATAATGAAAACGTTTGAGTAATGCAAGAGTTACCAAAATGTGGCAGAGACAGGAATTGAGCACATGCTGTTGGAAAAATGGCACCAATAGAGCTGCTTAAGGCAGGGTTGCTACGAAACTTCAATTTTGTAAAATGCAGTATGGTTGAAGCTCGATAAAGCAAAGCACAATAAAATGAGGTATACCTGTACTAACAGAGATTAACTTTTATAAAATTTTAAACTATCTGGGCACGGTGGCTCATGCCTGTAATCCCAGCACTTTGGGAGGCCGAGGTGAACCTCCAGATCACCTGAGGTTGGGAGTTCGAGACCATCCTGGCTAACACTGTGAAACCCCGTCTCTACTAAAAATACAAAAAATTAGCCAGGTGTGGTGGCGTACGCCTGTAGTCCCAGCTACTCGGGAGGCTGAGGCAGCAGAATTGCTTGAAACTGGGAGGTGGAGGTTGCAGTAGGCCAAGATCACACCTTTGCACTCCAGCCTGGCAAAAGAGCAACACTCCATCCATCTCAAAAAATAATAATAAATAAATAAATAATTTTAAACTATCACTGAAAACTCTAGTGGTGGAGAGCTTATTTTGGTAAATATACTGAAGATCAAATGATCTAAAGTAAGGAAAGGAAAGCACAATAAAAATAATTACATGAGCTAAATTGTGCTAAGCTAAAGAAAATATTTATTATTATACAAGGGAAACATATAATAAATGCTGAATTACTATTTTGCCCACATCCAGTTTTCCAAATTCTATCCTGCCACCTTGTGTTACTTATTTCTGAAGTATCCATGTCTGTCAATACTTTTTTTTTTTTTTTGCTGCCTGTTAATTCCTCCAAGCAGTATGTTGCCACAGACAGATGAAAGAGATGAAAATCAACCAAATGAAAATAATTATTTATTAGACGTGGCTGGGCACAGTGGCTCACGCTTGTAATCCCAGCCCTTTGGGAGGCCGAAGCGGGTGGATCATGAGGTAAGGAGTTCGAGACCAGCCTGGTCAACAAGCTGAAACCCTGTCTCTACTAAAAATACAAAAATTAGCCAGGTGTGGTGGCGCACACCTGTAATCCCAGCTACTCAGCAGGCTGAGGCAGGAGAATCACCTGAACCCGGGAGGCGGAACTTGCAGTGAGCTGAGATCATGACACTGCACTCCAGCCTCCAGCCTGGGCGACAGAGGGAGACTCCATCTCAAAAAAAAAAAAATAAGAAGTCATGGAAAATCAGTTTGATAAAGTGAGGGTACTGGATCATCCAAGGTTTTTAAACAGCCATGTAATGACTATCTTCACATTATCATGAGCAGAGCAACTATGTCCACTTCCTACTAACAATGGAGCAAGCACTTACCTTTCCTATGGGAAGTCCTTCATAATTCAATTTTCCTTCCTTTATGAAACTATATAGTGGAGAACCAGGAACAGAATTAAAGTCACCACACATAACAATAGGGCAGAAGCTGCCATCTTTCTGGTGGGCAACACTGGAAATCTCTGCCAGTAGCATTGCCAATTGGGTCAGCTTAATATCACCTCGCCTTGGATTATACAACAGATGGGTATTTGCTACACAGATCGCAGGAGAGGCAGCACATGCAATTTTGGGCTGCAAGAGTAAAACTAATCCAACATTGTCTCTGTCCAACAGAGAAATATCAGGGCGGAAGAATTCCACTGGATTCACTGACAAGAGTGAAAATTTGGAATGTTTGAAGCAAATAGCACAGCCATCAGGTTTCCTTCCTGTCCGCATCTTATATTCACAGTGATAACCTATAAGAAACAAATGAATTTAAAACAAATGACTGCTTTTATATATTTGTCAAAACACAGCTCACCTGATACTTCTGAACAATGTTTACCAAACTGTATTCTGCAAAACATTAGTAATGGAGGATGTCAATAAACATTGGAATAAAAAACGTTTGACACTGGGTCTATTAGTAATGTAGGATGTCAATAAACATTGGAATAAAAAACGTTTGACACTGGGTCTAACAGGCCTCTTTATATGCAGACTTCAGCCCTTGATATGCTAATGTGTATTATCAGTCTCCCATTGCCATCCTTACTAGTAAAACTTGGTCATGGCAATAATAGTAAAGCCCTTTAATAATCTATTCTCACACTCTCTCCACCCTATATTCCTGATCTTTTTGCTTATAATTCCTTCCCCCTCACTTCATTCCAACCTCACTGGCCTCCTCACTTGCCTTAACACACTCCAACCTCAGGGCCTTTCCCTTGCTATTTCTGTTGCCTAGAATGTTCTAGGCATAGCTTATTCCTTCACCTTCAAATATTTGTTCAAATGTCACCTTGTCTGATCATTTTGTTTAAAACTGAAACCTCTCGCATTCCACTTTCCTGCTTTTCTCCAGAAAACTATCATTACTTAATATGCTATTTACTTATTTATTTGGTTAGCCTTTCTCCACTAGAAGGTACACTCCAGATGAGGGAGAAATTTTTTACATCTTTTTTGCCCAGTGCTATATCCTCACTCCCTAGAACAGTGCATAGTATCTAGTAGACACTCAAAAAAAAAATTGCTGAATGAAGGCCGGGCGCGGTGGCTCACGCCTATAATCCCAGCACTTTGGGAGGCCAAGGCGGGTGGATCACGAGGTCACGAGATCAAGGCCATCCTGGCTAACACGGTGAAACCCTGTCTCTACTAAAAAAACACAAAAAATTGGCTGGGCGTGGTGGCGGGCGCCTGCAGTCCCAGTGACTAGGGAGGCTAAGGCAGGAGAACGGCATCAACCTGGGAGGTGGAGCTTGCAGTGAGCCAAGATTGCATCACTACACTCCAGCCTGGGCAACAGAGAGAGAATCTGTCTCAAAAAAAAAAAAAAAAAAAATTTGCTAAATTTATGAATGCAAAGCAGGCACATTTCTCAAGTATGTGGGACCACAGATAACTTGTTTCTAGAAGTGTTTATTTATCAAACAGGTTTTTGGCATCTATCCATTAGGTAGACACTGGTAGGCACTGGTATTATAATGATGAAAGAGACAAAATGGTCCCTGACCTCATGGAGCTCAGAATCTAATAGGTCTAGAGGTGGACAGAACAACTCCTAGGAAAGGGAGTTACTAAGAGATTCTTACACATCTTTCTGTTTGAATTAAAATTATACTCCAACACAAAAGTTTCCAGAGAGTACCTCAACCTTTTCCTGACTCTTTGAGAATTTTTTAAAATTAAGATTTTTAGCCAAAATATGCCACACATCTTTGTTAGCAAGTTATATCTTAATGACACATGAATTTTCAAAAGTAAATTTGGCTAAGATAAAAGTTACATTGCCTTGTCTCTATAAAAAAAATTAAATGATTAGCCAGGCATGGTGGCACACATCTCTAGTCCCATCTACTCAGGAAGCTGAGATGACAGGATTACTTGAGCCCAGGAGGTTGAGGCTGTAATGAGCCATGGTTGTGCCACTGCACTCCAGCTTGGGCGACAGACTGAGACCCTGTCTCAAAAAAGGAAAAAAAAAAAAAAAAAAAAAGAGTTACACTGTACCCAGTGATTCCAAACTTGGCCTGATCTCTGCTCCATAATGATCTTCTTGAACTTCTTGCAAACAAAGTACCTTGGAAGAAAGAAAAAGCTTGAATTAGAACACAGAGATACAAATATGAATTTCCTGGTGCTTTTATCTTAAAATATCTAAAAGCTGGCTTCTAAAATTCCACACCTGATAATAATTGAAATAAAAGGCATCCTTTTTTCTTGTTGTAGATCTACCAAATTAATGTTTCTGAATTTTGATCAATCTCAAAACTCTGGCCCTCAATCACATGGAGCTCCCTTAGTACTCAAAATTATTATATTCAAAAGGAAATATTCTTAGCTTACACGTCAGGATATTTTTTCGGGTTTTACGTGTTCATTGGTACTATCTTTCAGGTCTTAAGAGGCTGATTTCTTTGAATGCTATCAGGTAGGTGACATTTTTGCATGAATTACTGAAACTTTAAATCAAAGTTAATATTTACTGAATACTTAATATGCTGCCAATTTCTGTCTCAAAACTGACCCATACTTAAAAACGTTTTGGATCCTTTTTGAAAAGTTACATGATTATTCACACCAGCAACCACTAACAAATGCCTCTCTGAAAGTCATACCTTATTAAGACTTATTCCATCATTATTCTTAAACACATTCCTTTCTTACCCCACAAACAAAACGGAGAAAACCATTTAGTTCATAAATGCACAAATGAAACATGTAACCCAACTTTTTCTTTTTTTTTTTTTTTGAGGCAGAGTTTCACTCCTGTTGCCCAGGCTGGAGTGCAATGGCGCAATGTCAGCTCACCGCGACCTCCACCTCCTGGGTTCAAGTGATTCTCCTGCCTCAGATTATAGGCATGCGCCACCAAGCCTGGCTAATTTTGTATTTTTTAGTAGAGACGGGGTTTCTCCATGTTGGTCAGGTTGGTCTCGAACTACCGACCTAAGGTGATTCACCAGTCTCAGCCTCCCAAAGTGCTGGGATTACAGGCATGAGCCACTGTGCCCGGCCCCAACTTTTTCTTATGTGAAGAATTTCAATAATATTTTGCACTTACGTCTGCATCAAAGTGTTTAATTTCTTTCAGAATATTGGGAAACCTAAAACTCCAGTGTAATACTGGCCGCCGGCAATGTCTATAAAGGTGAGAGTTATCTTCCAGTAAATCTTGTGAAAGTATATTATAGGACATCACTGAAAAGTCAAACTTGTTCTCACTGTCTTCACATTTGGGATCAACATTTTTGTCTCCTAGGATCTTCGTTTTTTCTTTATCATGGCTACACATATATTCCCAATTCCGCTTTATCACGCCTGTTAAAAATATATTGCACAAATATAAGGAATTAATCAAAAGCAGACCATACAGTTTCCCACATATATGTATTTTTCAGCCTCTTAAAAATTCCTATAAGCAATGAATAGAATGTTTTTCCCTAGGAAGTGGCAATATAGCACTGAATAATTAGAACTGTTACCAAATTGGTAAAAATGTGGTAACACAATATACTGACTGACCAACAGGTTTAAAACAGGTTTAAAATAACCTTGCAAGTCATTCTGGAGGCTGAGAATACGTGCTTATAAAGCTAAGACTATACAGAGGTTGTGGTTTCTCACTTCTCTACAGTTAAGAAGCGGCTCTGCCACAGATGTGATTGACACTTTTATAACTATAACAACATATTTGTATGTCAAAGTTGGCTTTTCAATAAGATGATTTTACATTGTATTTTATTCCCTATTAGTGGGATAAGATCATCAAATGATTAACTAAGTTCCAGTAGCAACCCTTAGTTCAGAATTCTAGTTTATACATGAAAGAAGCGTATACGATGGCAATATATGGAAGAAGTTTTAGTGTTTAAAACACTAAAGTGGAACATGCAAACAAAATAAACAAAAGAAATCTTTTAGATGTACAATAAAGAAAAAGTTAAATATGACATAGCTACAGAATGCTAGTAAATGATAGCTAACCAACAAACCTAGCATGCAACAACCAGAAATGTGTCACAGTTCATATTCTGCAAACACATCATGCATTCTGCAAAAGTGATGAAAAGAGAATTAAAAAAATGAGACTTTGCAATCATAGGCAGTCCCTGACTTAGAAATAACCACGTGTGTGATGTGTGTCTGTGTATTCACCTTTGATCTTGCCTCCTACATCCTATCATTAAAGAGGATGCTCTTATTGCCATGGAAACCATGAAGAGAAACACGGAATTTTTAGAGAATTTATGAGCTCAAAAGAAAGAGAAAACAAAAAATGAGAAGAACATGGGAAAACAGATTTGGAAATGGACTTCTAAGTATGATTAAATAATATAAAAAATTTCAGTCCTAGAATATCTCCCTCTATCCTGCAAAGGTTTTCACTTCACTGGAATACAATGCCTAGAATTCTACCAATCAAAAATTAAATTGAAGTTAAAATATCCTATACACTTATACAGAGGGTGAAAGAAAGACTAAAAGGAAATACACCACTTTTTTTAAGAGTAGTTATCTCTGAGTGTTAGGACTGTGAAATATTTTTGCAAATCTTCTGCACAATACATTTACAATCAAAATATCAATATGCTATGTAAAAACGCCAATGAAGTAATCATTTTAAAGTATGATTAGGCCGGGAACAGTGGCTCACGCCTGTAATCCCAGCACTTTGGGAGGCTGAGGCTGGTGGATCACCTGAGGTCAGGAGTTCGAGACCAGCCTGGCCAACATGGCGAAACCTTGTCTCTACTAAAAATACAAAAATTAGCCGGGTGTGATGGCTTGCGCCTGTAATCCCAGCTACTCAGGAGGCTGAAGCGGGAGAATCGCTGTAACCCGGGAAGCAGAGGTTGCAGTGAGCCAAGATCACACAATTGCACTCCAGCCTGGGCAACAAGAGTGAGACTCCGTCTCAAAAAAAAAAAAAAAAAGATAGAAACAAAACCAAACAAGTCTTCAACTATGAAGAATTTTGCCTAGGGCCTATCCTATGCCCAGGAAAGGAAACTATTCCCTATCATTCACTGAAGATAGGAATCCTACCCCCAATAGCTCAGAACTAAGGCTAATTGTACGGGCTCTGCAGAGCCACTCAGGTTTGTAACAAAACTTCTATAGGGAAAACAGAACTGATTGGCTGGGCACGGTGGCTCACACCTGTAATCCCAGCACTTTGGGAGGCCGAGGAGGGCAGATCACAAGGTCAGCAGAGCGAGACCATCCTGGCTAACACGGTGAAACCCCGTATCCAAAAAAGTACAAAAATTTAGCCGGGCGTGGTGGCAGGCACGTGTAGTCCCACCTACTCGGGAAGCTGAGGCAGGAGAATGGTGTGAACCCAGGAGGTGAAGCTTGCAGTGAGCCGAGATCGCGTCATTGCACTCCAGCCTGGGCAACAGAGTGAGACTTCTTCTCAAAAAAAAAAAAAACAAAAAAAAAAACAAAAAAAACTGATCATGTGTAGAACACAATTCATTCATAAACTGGAGACTGTCTATGATGGTTTTAGCCAAATCAAAGTCTTCTTACGTATACAAGATGGAAAGGGTTCTAGTCATGCAAACAATATATAAGCTATCATCATAGATGGAGCACTACCCTGCTGTCACTGCCATATTAAAATATGAAAATTAAGGTCTAAAAACCTTACTCATATTTCCTTATAAAACATGTACATGTAATGGCATATAAATGCATTAAGATTTTTATTGTCCTGGTCATTAAAGCTTATAACCAACTCTTTTTGCAATTCCATTTTGTAAACAACCAGGACCATTAGATTATCTGGTTAATACAGTGGCTTTCAAACTTCTACAGCTTGTAGAACCCTTCTGCGTTACTTTTCATGTCATGGAACACCAATCCCTGGCATGCTGGGACTGGGGCTGGGATGATGGGGTGAACACACATTTTATACTGACCACATTTGCTTTTAATAAACTTACAGAAATGTGTTCAAATGTGAGGGTTCCATGGAAGACAATTTGAAAACCACTGATAGAGTGGATAGTCTCTGGCCTTCATATGCTTCACAACATAAATTCACACTACAAAAGCTTATATACCTTCCATATCAGGAGGAACAAGGTGATCACAGCAGAGAAGACAGATGAATCAAAGAAAGTAAGCAATAGGCCTGATCGGGTTTTTAGGGTGCCTAATTACAAAGTCATAATTGTATCACACAAATCCTTCAAATACCACTTTAAAGTGATAGGCAAGTTAGCAATGCTGTTTTCTTGATTGAAAAGTATTAGTGAAATATCGGAAGTCACAAATATGGCTTAACGAAGAGCATTTTCCTTATTCACAACACCTAGGAAGAATGGACATATAGAGAGTCAGGTTGTAATCAAGCTTTATCAGTAGGTAAATGTAATTCCCCATCCATTAAGGGTAAACAACACCATAATTTTCTGAGTACCTACTATGAAGCCAACAGTGTGTTAGGCACTTTGACATACAGTATCTCATTTCATTCAACAGACTTTCAAGTAGGCATTATTTTACATGAAAAAATCAAGGAGCAAAGAGGTTAAGTAAGCTGTCCAAGTTCACATAATTAGTAGTGGGGCAGAAAGGAAAGCAGGGAGTGGTTCCTCAATCAATGCTTATGTAGCTATGCCACAGCTGCATCTGAAAGCACCCCAGATTTATAAGAGGCTAAACAAAAGAGGAGTGTGCTGACCTGATGAACAAATTATATGAGTGAAAAGCAATCTGGTATCATCATACAGCCCTAGATTTATAGATCTTAGGATTGTTTTCAGAAACCTAATTTTAATGCCTCTAAATACACCTTTCATTCATTCAAATATTTCTTGTTTATCTCCCTATGCTGTGGTTAAGTACTACACACAAACAGATTTTCACTTTTGGATAGTTAAGAATTTCTACAAGTGTTTGTTTTTTCTGACTAGGTTCTTTGTAACCGTGTAGCAATAAGTTACACATTTATTTGAATATTAGCTTAGCAAAGTTGATTGGGACCCAGCGGAAGCCTGTAGACTACTTTCTGATAACAAAACCAGAGGGAACCTGAAGAGCACTAATTCTAGCTTTGACTTCCAGACGAGACTCACCTTGAATGTCTTCCTTTGACAAACTTATATATCAGTTCCCTAAACATTAACACCGACACAGCCTTCTCTCAAATATCTTCAGAGGAATTATCTTCACTGAAAATTATGGTTCAATAAGAAAGACAATTCCAAATCCAAATTCTACCTAGACCTCTCACTTATACTTTCAGGAGATGGGGTTGTGGTGGGGGCAACACTGGCAGCACAGAGGGAGTCTAGTGAATTGTTCAGAGTAGAAAGAATATGAAAAAATAGAAGTAAATTAACACATTTTTAAAAACTGTTTCTCAAAGTGGAGTAAGATGTGGTTCCCCTTCTAAAAGATAATACTTCTGGCAAACTCTCAAGATTTTATCTATGGACCCCAATTTGAGATATACAGATTTAATAAACAAAAATCTTATCCTATAAGACCATGTCTTTCATTTATGGTTGCTTCTATTTATGAGTCCTCTTGTCTTACATAAAAACATTGGCTTAAAAATGAAAACACTAAAATTTTTTTAGCTCTTTAGACTTCTAAGCCTATAGCCATCAATTTCTAAGAAGTCTAAGGGCTTTTGTTTCAAAAACATTGGATTTAAAAATTATCCTTAAATAAAACTTACTTTTGTAATCTATTTCTCCTTTCTTTGCCAATCTTATTCTATCTGTAGACTCATTTCTATTTTTACAGCCAGAAGTACACAATTAGTTGAAGATAAAAATAAAGACTTCATTTAAGGAAGAATTCATTTTTTTCTTTTTTTTTCTTTTTTTTTGAGACGGAGTCTTGCTCTGTAGCCCAGGCTGGAGTGCAGTGGCGTGATCTCAGATCACTGCAAGCTCCGCCTCCCGGGTTCACGCCATTCTCTTGCCTCAGCCTCCTGAGTAGCTGGGACTACAGGTGCCCGCCACCACGCCCGGCTAATTTTTTGTATTTTTAGTAGAGATGGGGTTTCACCGTGGTCTCGATCTCCTGACCTTGTGATCCGCCCGCCTCGGCCTTCCAAAGTACTGGGATTACAGGCGTGATACACCGCACCCAGCCAAGAGTTCATTTTTTTCTAACATAAAACTACTGGCTAAAAATCAACACCAAATACCTCTAAAACCTTAGGAGGTTTAAAGGATTAGATATGAAAGTTTCAATTTAGTCTATCACTTGTATCTATTTCTACACCAAGATAAATGTCACCTTTACCTTGGTGTTTTCTTCGTTTTGATGAAGGCTCATCTCCCTCAGCGTTCATGACGTAACTAGAGAGATGAATCAAAGATGTCTGGCTCAGGTTGTCAGGTCTCCAGTTACAGTACTGGAACTGAGTTCTAGACTCAAACAAACAGGGTGGTCTCCAATTTAGTGAAAAATGCCTACTACTGAAGTATGGGTAAGGAGCTTGATAGTAATGTCCAGGCCACCTCATACAACTAGAAATATGTCTGTTCCAGCAACACCTTTGTAGATTCTCCCACGGTGTAGTCCAGTCTCTGCCCAGACTCCTCGAGTGATGGGGAAACATGGGGTATCTAAAAGAAATAAATACACTCCTTGAGGCACCACTTTTTGTTCAGCTATAGTTTACAAAATCTAAGCCTATTTTCTCAAGGGAAGATAATATCTAATATTTAAAATCTGACTTCTAAATCTGTGAAGGATGAAGGGGAAACCACCCATGATTTACCTATTAGCATCAATATCTCAAGACTCTCATCCTAAAAAACCATTCATGGTATTCTGAATACTTAACACAGCATGCCTCCCAGGCTCCCAAAACACCACATATCCCTCAAAACATACATAGTTCAACTGAGAGATGAATCAACTATGAAAATGATATTCAGAGTAGCTTTCAAGCACCTAAAAAACTCAATGAGAAAATAAAATACACAACAAATATTATACTGAAACCGAATAAGGAACTCTTATCACACTACAATCAAAGTAAATCTCTCCTCCCACGTGGAGTGATAACAAGTTTCTGAACAGTTTTTTATACCAAGGGCAGATTTTTCCAAACACCTGTATATACTAGGAAAACAAAAGCCTATCCACAACTTCATAAATTCACAAAACTACTTCTCTTACTAATCAACGGGTGGATAATTTATTTTTCCATTCTTTTTTAAGCATGATTCTCCTTGGGGGAAATGAAAGACGATGGGGATTACTTATTAAGAACGCACCAACACTCCAAACCAACAGCTTCAATTTAACCCACCATCCAAAATATCTCCAAAGCGGCGCTAACATTTTTAATAGATAATATTGCTCTCAGGCTCTCAGGAGACATTTCAGCTTAATAAAGCACCATGTTCCTCTCACTACACTACTGTGGCAAAATGTTAAGATTCTGAGGACTTCTATTCTTTCCTCCAAAATTCTTAACAGCCACATTTCTACCACAGCATCAATAATGTGCGCTCCCATCCCCAAGAGAATTTTGTTTAAGTTGCATTTACTGTTATTTAACTTTATACTCTGTTATTTTCGTTTTAACAGCATTTAAATTTTTATTATATATTTTTACAGTTTAAGTATTCCCTAGTTGTTCTCTAAAATCAACTTAATTGTAAATCTTTAAAGGCATAAAACATGGGTATCTTACACTGCTTTGTGATAACTCTGAAAGCCATAGGAATTTGGGCACATGGTCCACGCATTTTCTATCCTAATAAGCCACTGTATTGAAATACAATACTTGTACTACAACAGTTATTCTCTATATTTGCAGTTATTTATTCAGACTTTTTTTTTCTCTTAAGATGTTAAGCTCCTTCAGGGCCAGAACCGTCTTATTCATTTTAATTCTGTTCTTTTCACAAGTGCCTAGCACAGTGCCTGGCAAACAGCTGGTACTCAGGAAATATTGTTGAACTGAATTACTATCAAGTCCCAGGCCTATGGGAGTTAAAACCAAATCCCCAACACTTATGCAATAATACATGCTGTGTTTCCAAAGCGTGGTGGGTGGTACACGAGTCGGTTTCATAGAGTACACAGTTAAATTACTTGATTGTAATATCTAAATATTTGTTAGTTTATTAGGAAAAAACATAATCGCACATCAAATCCAAGACTGCTGACACTGCTTAGGGCGAAGCTAATGTGGGCCGCACCTACTGAAGTGCTTTTTTAAAAAACTGAGTCAATTTAAAGAAAAATATCCAGTAAATAAAACACGTGGAACAAGAACTTGGCCATAACAGTAAGGGATGACATACAAGTGACTAAAGTTTGAGAGACACTAACACATCAACAAAAATCAAGCCCTCCTGGGCGTGTGCCACACGCGCGCCTCCAGGGTTTCAGGACCGCCGAGACCTACGGCGGAGAGGCGGCCTCCCCGCCGACGCTCGGCTCCCGGGACGGTGCCGCGGAGTGTGGGGAGCAGGCCAGCGCTGCTCTGGAGGCTGGGTGGGGGGAAGCGGGCCAGGGATCCAAAGCCACCGGCGCAAGCCTGGCCAGCGGCCCAGGAACTCCGCGCCAAGACCCCAGACTTCGTTGGCCCAGCGTGCCGGTGGCTGCGCGCCGGGTTTACCTATCCCTCTTGGTCTCTGGAGGCTCGTCCCGGATACACCATCGCCCAGACCCTCTTCCTCTTCCTTCCTCCCCTAGCCCGCCCCGCCCCGGGTTAGTCCCGGCCGCCCGCCCGCGCCCTCAGGCCGCCCGCCCCTCTCTCCTCCCTCCAAGTACCCAGCCCTACTGACCGGCCTCTTCCCACCACACAGTGGCCGTAGCCCTTCCTCACGCAGCGCCAGGCTTCCATCTTCGCCCTCCGCGTGCGTCCAGTTCCCAGGCCCCGGGTTCCACCTCAATCTCTATAACCGATGCGGTGGCCTAAAGTACCTAGGGAACCCCATCACTCTAAGTACCGACTCCGATCCCGGCTGCAAGGCATGCTGGGAGGTGCAGTCTCGCCGCCGGCCGGCCTACTCTCCATCTTGCGCAGTGAGAGTCCCTGAATGCCTTAACCCGGAATTCTGCTCAAAGAGCATGCGCAGAGCGTGGGAAGCGCGAGCAACCATTTCTGAAGAGGGCAAAACACCCGACCTTCGTCTTAAAGGAACAGAATGAAATAAATTTTTTTTTCCTTTTTCTTTCTTTCTTTCTTTTCTTTTTCTTTTTTTGAGATGGAGTTTCGCTCTTGTCGCCCAGATTGTAGTGCAATGGCATGATATCGGCTCATTGCAACCTCCGCCTCCCGGATTCAAGCGATTCTCCTGCCTCGGCCACTCAAAAGTAGCTGGGATAACAGGAATGAGCCACCACACCCGGCTAATTTTTGTATTTTTAGTAGAGACGGGGTGGCACCATGTTGGTCAGGCTGGTCTCGAACTCTTGACCTCAACTGATCCACCCACCTCGGCCTCCCAAAGTGCTGGGATTACAAGAGTGAGCTACTGCGCCTGGCAGAAATAAACTTGCTTAACAGGACTAGCTGAGGAAATAACGTGTACACAGCAGTGAAAATTTTTAATTGCCCAAACTGCAGATTCCCAGCTGAGGCTGAACAACGCATCCTCTGGGTGCCCATGGAACTGAGGTACCACAGAATTTTGCAATTAATTTTGCGGAAGCACAGCCATAGCTCTCACTTTAAAATGTACGTGTATGTCCTGTGTGTCCACCTTTATTAAATGTAGTATAGGACTGTAGATTGTTGGAAGACATTATTTAAGTGGAGACCCCGCAAGAAACAGAAAGAAACCGAGAAAGAATAAAGTGTAGCAAGTAGAGAGGAAAAGGATACTAGAAGGCAGGAGCACTGCTTTTATAGGCTCTTTGAAACAGTGGTAGTTTCTTGGGAATGCTTTCCTTACCCCTGGTGCTTAAAAGGAAATCAAGTGTATTTGGAAAAAACCCTTTCCCTCAGTATGTAATTGATTCTTGTTATTTGCAGTAGTTAGGTTCTGTAACGTTGCTGGAAACACTGAATTAGTAAATACTGAATCATTGCTCCTAAGGGAAATACAGGATTAGGATCCAGTAAGCCTCTGGTCGCATTTTCATCAACTTATCAATACACAGTTTTGTTATGTATGTGTTTCCGCTTAAAGACATCTTATTTAATATATATTGTTGATTCAGTAACATTGAACTCAGTCAACAGCATTATAATTCATACCTCAACAAAGCTTACCTAACACTGCTATTTTCTCTGCAAGGCTCATGACAGCCTTCTTGTGCTTAGGAGCACTATACAGCACAATGCTTGGGGACCATTTTAAACAGCGACATCAACAAAAAGTACAAAAACGTGAAAAACGTATCACTAAATGGAATGTGAAAAGGACACTTGGTCCTGATGGCTTATGCCTGTAATCCCAGCAATTTGGGAGGTCAAGGCGGCTGGATTGTTTCAGCTGGGGAGTTTAAGATCACACTGGACAACATGGCGAAACCCCGTCCCTACTAAAAGTACAAAAATTAGCCGGGTATGGTGGCTCGAGAATTTGAGGTGAGAGGACTACTTTAGCCCGAGAGGGCGAGGCTGCAGTGAGCCAATGTAGTGTCACTGCACTCCAGCGCGGGCAACAAGGGACACTGTTTATGGTATAGTATGAGAGCTGAAACAAGAAGGCAGAGGATGCCTTGTTCAGCCTCAGCTGGGAATGTGCACTTTGGGCAATTAAAAATTTTCCCTGCTCTGTACATGTCCAAGAATACATGGAGGTTACAGATAAATTTTAGCAAGTAGGCAAATTTGCAAATATGGAATCCACAAATAAGGGAGAAAGACTGTATTTCTGTTTTATACTGCCCTATTTTCTAGTTGTACTCACAATTTTGTAGTTCATTAAATTAATTGACTAGTAGTTTACTGTATGTCTTGTCTCTATAATGAGATTGTAAATAACTTCTGAGGAAAGACCATGACTCATTATTTCCAAAATTTACTTGACCTAGTGCTGTGCTAAGTATATATTATTTTTTATAATATATATTTAATATATAGTATATGAAATAAAATATAATGTATATTTACTATATATTAGTAAAAATATTTTGAATGAATGGTTAACAGTGGGCCAGAACTTAGGGCTTGTGAATGTCCAGAAACTTTTTCCTTTAGCATATCCTAAAAGGTAAGGAGCAATGTAACATTTTAAAATAAGTAACATTTTTAAATAAGTAAAAGAAATTAATAGATATCTTTTCATGCAGTGTTGGAATTTGGGAGTTTATCTGATCCTAAAAGATATTGGCCTTTATCTGGACCTAGACTATTGCAAAGATTAAAGTTAACTTGCAGGGTGCTCATGGCAGTGCAAATGATTCTTGTCTATGGACTTGTGAAATAATTCTACCCGGTTAGGGGGGTGAACTCTCCACCTCTATGGAAAAGCCAGTTTTGGCCGCAGGCAGTGACTCACGCCTGTAATCCTAGCTCTTTGGGAGGCTGAGGCGGGCGGATCTCGAGGTCAGAAGTTCGAGACCAGCCTGACCAACATGGTGAAATCCCGTCTCTACTAAAAATACAAAAATTAGCAGGCGTGGTGGCACGCCTGTAATCTCAGCTACTCAGGAGGCTGAGGCAGGAGAATCTCTTGAACCCGGGAAACGGGGATTGCAGTGAGCTGAGATTGCACCACTGCTCTCCAGCCTGGGTGACAGAGTGAGACTCCATTGCAATAGTAGTAATAATAATAATAATAAATTAAACAACAACAAAAAAGCCAGTTTTGCACCATTTGCGAGTTCAATATTTCTGATCTGTAAACATGTCTCCTCTTTGGATTCTCCTTTGAACAGGTGATAGCATCTGTCTGGTTCACCTATTTAATGAGTTAAATAAAATGGCTGGGTGCAGAGGCTCACACCTGTAATCCCAGCACTTTGGGAGGCCGAGGCAGGTGGATCACTTGAGGTCAGGAGTTCAAGACCAGCCTGGCCAACATGGTGAAACCCCGTCTCTACTAAAAATAGCAAAAATTAGCCAGGTATGGTGGCTTATGCCTGTAATCGCAGCTACTTGGGAGGCTGAGGCATGAGAATCACTTAAATCTGGGAGGCAGAGGTTGCAGTGAGTCAAGATCGCACCACTGCACTCCAGCTTGGGCAACAGAGTGAGACTCCATTTGAAAATAAATAAATAAATAAAAATAAAATAAAATGACTGATGTGTTCGTATTATATCTGTTTGAGAGTCATTATTTTACTTTTTTTTTTTTTTTTTGCAAATTATCTTTTAAAAGTTCAGTAGTTCCCACCAAGATGCCCAATGTATTCATCTGACAGGTGAATTTTATCACTGGAAAAGTACACTTCATGGGTTGCCTGAATCCTGGCAATTTTCTTGCTGCCAGAGATAAATGTAAAACTGCAAAAGAATGTTGCTGAGTCTTTGTTTTCCTAATTTTTATTTTCTTCTCCACTAATTGTGTGTTTTTCTTTGGTTTGTACAAGCATATCTTGTTTTATTGTGCCTCACTTTATTATGCTTCACAGATACTCTGTTTTTCACAAATTGAAGATTTGTGGCAACCCTCCCTTTTGCAATTCTATTGATAACCATTTTTCCAGCAGCATGTGCTCACTTTCTTTCTCTGTGTAACATTTTGGTGATTCTCACATATTTCAAACATTTTCATCATTCTTATATCTATTATGGTGATCTGTGATCGGTGGTCTTTGATGTTACTATTGGAATTGTTTTGGGGCACCACAAACTGCACCCATTCAAGATGGCAAACTTAACAAATGTTGTGTGTGTTCTAACTGCTCTACTGACTGACCAACCATTCCCTGTCTCTCTCCCTGTCCTCAGGCCTCCATATCCCCTACAAAATATTGAAATTAGGCCAATTAATAACCCTATGATGGTGTCTAAGTGTTCAAGTGAAAGGAAGAGTTACACATCTTTAAATCAAAAGCTAGAAATTATTAAGCTGAATGAAGGGACGACAAAAGCTGAGATAGGTCCAAAGACAGGCATCTTGCACCAAACAGTTAATGAAATTGTGAATGCAAAGGAAAAGTTCTTGAAGGAAATTAAAAGTGCTACTCCAGTGTATGAAGGCATGATAAGAAAGCAAAACAGTCTTATTGCTGATACAGAGAAAATCTGAGTGGTCTATATAGAAAATCATACCAGTTACAATATTCCCTTAAATCAAAGCCTAATCCGGAGTAAAGCCCCAACTCTCTTCAATTCTATGAAGGCTGAGAGACGTGAGGAAGCTGCAGAAGACAAGTTGGAAGTTAGCAGAAGTTGCTTCATGAAGTTTAAGGAAAGAAGCTGTCTCCATAACATAAAGGTGCATAGGGAAGCAGAAAGTACTGATGGAGAAGCTGCCGCAAGTTATCTAGAAGATCTAGCTTTGATTACTGATGAAGGTGGTTACAATAAACAACAGATTTTCTGTGCAGATGAAACAGCCTCTGTTGGAAGAAGATGCCATCTAGGACTTTCATAGCTAGAAAGAAGTCAATGCCTGGCTTCAATGCTTCAAAGGACAGGCTGACTCTCTTGTTAGGAGCTAATGCAGCTGGTGACTTTAACTAGAAGCCAATGTTCACTGATCATTCTGAAAATCCTAGGACCCTGAAGAATTCTGTTAAATCTACTCTGCCTGTTCTCTATCAATGGAAGACAAAGCCTGGACA